CATGATTCCCTGAGAATACAAGTTAATTTAAAAAGGTCAACATATATAATGTTGGTGAGTTCATAAGCATGTTTAAGAAAAACGTTTTGTATTACTTTGTAAACACCAGAAAATCCGATATTTTCTGGAAAAAAAAAACAGTTTGAAATGTTTGTGTCCGATCTTGTATTAATGCATGTGTGTTAATGTTTGTGAGAGTATAAAGAGAATGACCCCAGACAACTCAATGTTGTCTGCTTATGAGAATGATGGGATCTCAACACCCGAGGTTGAGTGCCAGCGTGTGTAGGTTACCGTGTTTTCCACAAAAGATTGTTTCCCGTAAATTTTATAAGGGTGTTAATTCCTCTAAGTGAGTCGTTATAACCATACTTGATAATGACAAATTCGTCTGTCATGACGTCTGATAGACGCCGACTTGTTTAAGGTACGGTTGTCACCCTAGACTGGCCTAGTCTAACTGTAGCGAACATCTCAGGTGTGGGGCGTCACCCCCGTATAGATCTATACACAAACTCACGCTCTCTCTCCGGGAGACTCTGGTTATAACTACAGGCTATGTTTGTACCCTCATTTGGTGCCAAACGAAACGTCTCACTAGATCCTTAATCGAATTTACGCGAATAAACATGAAAGGTATAATCCAGGCCCAATAAACATTTAAGGTACATTCCAGGCCCAATAAACAAGTAAGTGGACAACTAAGGCCCACTAAGCATGTAAATTATATTCCGGGCCCAATAAGGAATGTGAATGATGTAATTGATCCATTTGTTGTTATATTGGTTGTTAAGCTTAGTTGTTTACCAAATTGACATAAAATGCTCACTTTTTGTAAAAATACATTTTTGGTCCTAAAAACCGGAAATTTACAATTATGGCACATTTTTGGTAACAATGACATTTTAGGTCCTTTAAGACCAAGGTTTGCATTTAAGGCTAGTTTTAGTAAAAGTAACATTTTTAACTCACTTTTGTCAAAAATATCATTTTTGGCTTAGTTTTTATGAAAATGTGCATTCTCGGCCCATTTATAATTAAATTTCTCCTTTTGGCCCAAGTCATAAATAATTTTACATTTCCAGCCCTTTTTATCGAAAACTTACATTTTTGGCACAACTTTGTTTAAAATGACACTTAAGGCCACCAAGGTCCAAAAATTTAAAATTTTGGCCTAAAGCCGTGAAAACCCAAAAATGAGGCCCATTTGTGAAAATTTACACTTTTAGCCCTTTTAAAATCATCAATACCATAAAGATTCATATTTATCTAAATAACTCTTTTTGGTCCCTTAAAACCGTGAGTTACATATAATAACCTCATTTTTTATTATTTTGCCATTTTTGGCCCTTTTATGTATTTTTCTTAGTTTTAAGCAACTTTGAAGTATTTTAAAACCTTTCTTTACATAATAAGTTTGCAATAAATGTTAGGTTCTACAAATATCACCATATTTTAACATACTTTCAAGTTCATGGAGTTTATGACACATAATCACACATATATCATGAAAACACACAAAATCATGCATATACACATAGATCTTCACAAAACAACTTGTATTATCCCCCAAAACATAGTAAAAACCGAAAATAGGGGGTATGAACTCACTTTGCTTTGGAGATTTCGGTTTTTGATGAAGAATGATGAGGATCTCGGCCCTAGAAGCTTCTTGAGTGGAGTTTTTCGAACTTAAGATGGATCTAAGGGCATGGATCATGAAATGATGTGTTCAGGAGTGAAGATTATCATAAAATGAATCTAATCACTTTGATAAGAGAATAACTTACCAAAAATGATGATCTTTGATGAAAAGTTTGGTGAACACACCCTTGTTCACGAATTTTTGAGAGATGAAGATGAGAGATATTTAGATGGCTTTGAGAGGAGTTGTATGGTGATGGAAGTTTAAAATGGATAGTGGTGAGCGAAGGGAGGTTTTCCCGTGAATAAGAAGAAGAAAGAGAGAGGAGTTAGATGTGATGGTTGCATGGGTACATGAGACATTCATAGATATATGTTGTGTTATTGCATGGAAATCCACCTTGTAATGTTGAGGTGTCAAACCATTTATCCACCCTTTGTTTATTATTTTTTTTATGTATGGTCCGTGAATGAGGAGGAAGGAAAAGAGAAAGAAGTGTTTGGGCCTATATTGAACATATTCTAAATTTTAGGCCCAATATGAAGGTTATCGGCCCATTGGCCCCTTCTTATGGGTTTACGGCCCAAAGGTAGTGAATGAGTGGGGTTTACGGCCTAACATTGTTCAAGTGAGTTGTTCATGGCCCATAAAAGGCCCATGAGAATGAAGTAGGACATTTTAGGCCCAATAAGGCCCATGAGAAGTCTTATGGCCCAAAATGCTATTATTTAATGGATATGGGTCTATTTAAGGTCCAAATATGGTTCCTTGACCCAAAATAGCCAAATTGAGAGTTTACTGGCCCATTAGGCCCAACAAGAGGATCCTGGTCCATTCTGAGTGTGAAACCGGGTTATTAGGGTTTCAAACCCATAATTGAGTATATGAGATGTATTGAATTAGGTTTTGAACCTCACTCAGGAATTTTGGTTCAAATGGTTGATTTCGAATGAGCATAGTGCATGACACCAGTTTAGATGACAAGTTATACAAGAGTTGATTACATGAATACAGAATTTCCTAGCCAAAAAAAATGCTAGTTGTGACAATTTATGAAATTGGAACATAAACATGAAGGGATGCTAGTGAAGTTCTAGCCCTAATGATTGCTTTTGTAATGCATTAAGGTATGATTGTTGAGCAAATGAAGTTCATAACCATGAATGGATGTCATTAGAATGATTTTGATGAAAAATACTAAGTGTTGATTGATTATTGGATGAATCCATGGAGTTTGTACTCATATGGGGCATTTTTGGGTAAACTATGAATAACTAAAAGATAATTGACATCTAAGAGTTGAATGACATTCATCAACATGAATTGACAATCTAGAGATGAATTTGGAACATAAACATGAAAGGATGTTAGTGAAGTTCTAGCCTTAGTGATTGTTTTTGTAACATCCCCCTCTGACACGTATCACAATATTGTCCGCTTTGGGCTTCCGGCACGAAAACTTCCCAGGGGGTCACCCCATCTCTGAATTGCTCTCGACCGTGCACGCTTAACTGTAGAGTTTTTATAGGATCTGATGCCCTCACGACTTTAAAACACATTGTGACAAGGAAGGTATCAACACCCCTTATAAGTAAATGCTTCGTTCTCCTTCCAAGCCGATGTGGGATCAGGTGCAATCCACCTTCACCCCCCATTACAGGGTTCGACGTCCCTGTCAAACATATCGACCCGTGCCCCAGCTCTGATACCATTTGTAACATCCCCCTCTAGTACGTATCAAAATATTGTTCATTTTGGGCTCCCGAAACAAAAACTTCTCAGGGGGTCAACCATCCCTGCATTGCTCTCTCCCGGGCACGCTTAACTGCAGAGTTATTATAGGATATGTTGTCCTCACGACTTTAAAACGCGTTGTGATAGGGAAGGTATACACACCCCTTATAAGAAATACTTGGTTCTCATTCCCAACTGATGTGTACGATGGGGACGTCGAACCCTGTAATGGGGGTGAAGGTGGATTGTACCTGATCCCACATCGGTTTGGAAGGACAACGAAGCATTCCCTTATAACGGGTGTTGATACCTTCCTTGTCACAACGTGTTTTAAAGTCGTGTAGGCAGCAGATCCCATAAGAACCCTGCAGTTAAGCATGCCCGGGCGAGAGAAATTCAGGGATGGGTGACCCCCTTGGGAAGTTTTCGTGCCGAGATCCCAAAGCGGACAATATTATGATATGTTCCAACAGGGGATGCTACATTTTTGGCCCAAAGGGCAATTTGGGAAACATGGAATGGAATTGAGGATTCCATAGTTAATTTATGTAAAGTAGAGTACCATTTTGTGAAAAATCGCATTTTATGTGTGCAGACCTCATTACACTGGTCGTGCAATGGCAATGCAACCATTACGCGGATTGTGTTTCCTTCTAAGTAATGTCATGTGATTTTTCATAACTTTTGCATACGGATTCAGATTTGCGTACGGTTTTCGCCTACATTCATATTTTTGCATAAGGAATGAGATGAAACAATAAAATTTATTAATGGAACCTATGATTGGTATTTTGGTCATTTTAATGACTTATGTCCATGTTATATAGGTGATGTTTAAGAGTGTTGCTCTAGGGAAAGGACTTGAAGAGGACTAGCTAACCTATGAGTGATTGAGGTGAGTACGAGTTGATATTTTCCCACTTTGGGGTACATGACAAAATAATTTCATGATAATGAAATACCAATAATTTGATATACTAAACGTTTTGAAATGAAAGTGTTAAATTCTTTTGAAATGAATGTTTTGAAAGAATGTCTTAAAAGCAAGAATGTTTTGAAAGAAATTAATACTTTTAAAGAACGACTGGTTTGATAATATGTTTGAAATGTTTGAAGTATAGATGTTTTACTTTTCAAATGAGCATTTTTGATATTAACTTTTGAAATGAGTATTTTGATATTAACCCATAATGATTTTTTGAAAACCATAGCATTTTAAAGTTTGAAAAAATCGGGGTCTTACAATGATTGTTATAACCAACTTGGGTTGAATGATAAGCTTACACATTGAATCCTAATGATAGAAAATATTTGTTGTGTTGAATTGTCTTAGTTGACAATTTCTCTGTATTATTTGAGCATCTGACTAATTGTAGGTAGTTCGTTTCATTTCACTTGTTCAATTGGATTACATTGATAATTGAATATAATCATTTCTCCGTGGATGGATCCCTTTTTACTACTATATTACATTTTATTTGCAAGCAAAATGATGTAATTTGCTTGGTGGTTTGACATCCCACCAATGTTTTTAGCTTAATCATATATTTTAAGTAATTGAGTTTTACATTAAATCAAGAAAGATTTTGGGAACGCCCGGATACAAGTTAGAAGACACAAAATGCACACTCTTACAATCAAGTTTAATCTCGAACAAGACAAATGTCGAGGGTAAAGGTCTGCAACCCCTTGCAGGATTAAGTGGCGGTGTGCTTGCAGGTTCTAGGAGCCTTTTAGATGATTTTGACATTATGTAAGTACCATAGAAGAGATTTAGGTGTAAACGGTTTTGGAGGACTCTAAGTGTCGAATGCCGCAACTAAAGTGCGAGCATTGAATGCATACTAAAAGGCGCATAACATGCCATTGAGGTGTTGGATCTCATGGACAAATCCCTTAGAAGGGGATCCTAAAAGCAAACTACAAAATTTTAAATTGTTGTTAATTACCTCATAATTATAACAATTATTTTGATATGTTTATTCATTTGGATGAAACCACTTGTCTATATACATAATTTGATATGTTATGTTGATGTTTATTCATTTGGATGGAACCACTTGTCTATATACATAATTTTATCAATAATTTTAATCTCTTAGAATATGAAACAAACTAGTCGTACACAAATTTAGTCATTCAATTCTTGTCATTATCATGTGCATAAACTCAAAGCTGCATTCAATTAAATTATCTATCACTAGATTTCATGACACGCAACATTTAAGGATCGCAATACTATTTATGGACATTGTCTAAACAGGATCCAAATTCAATATCATGGTTTTGATTATCAGCATGTATATAATATTCCAAAAAAAAAATGATCAAGATAGGATAATTCATTACCGTTTTTAAAGATCATTGTAATATTACTTTGTAAATGTATAAGTAAAGTATTTGAAACTAGAAAACGTGAATAAACAGGAAACAAAGGATACGCATTTTAATTGTATATTCTTACATATCGCAAAAAGATTGTTGTATAATCTAATTGATATTTATCACTTGAAATCGGAAACACTAAAGCTAATACATTTGATTCATAAAAATATCGATGTATTTTTATTTGGTGCTAGTTGTGAGACCCGTATATTATACGGGTTGAATAAAAAAAATATAAAAGTTTAAACAAAAATTTATTTAAATTTGAAATTTTAGATTTTAAATTTAAATTTTAAAATTTGAATTTAAAAGGAAACATATTAAATACAATATATGAGTAGTAATATTGTCGTTTTAAAAAAAATAGTAATATTTTAATTTATTGACTATTTTAATTAAGACAATTATTAACTGAGGTGCAAATGTCATGTGTTATTTAAAAAAAGAAAAAAAAAAGAGAAAACGACAAATGGAAAAACATTTATTCAAAAATACTAGAAAATGACATGTGTCCAAATGAAAGAGAGAAGAATATGTGACAAAAAGATTTTGATTTATTAGGAATTAAGATTAGGATTAGGATAGGATTAGGATTAGGATTAGGATTAGGATGACAAACTTTGCATAGGTTGATAAATAAAATAAATAAATAAATAAAAACGACTACAAAAACAGATAAAAAAAAAACAATTCATCACATAAAATAATAAAACTATGGTCTAATTTAGGTATATGGGCTCTTAATGTAAAAGGCTAATATTTTACCATGTCTTGGGCCACTGAACCCATTTAGTGTACAGGTTTCTTTCTCCGTTTCTCTTTTCTCGCGACAGCAAGCAAAGAGGGGGTGTCTCTGCAGCCGATCTCGAAGTGTTCCTTTCTGTCTTTGCGTCGCCATTTCAGAGTCTGATTGATTGTATACTCACATCCAAATAGTTTATTGGTCGCCATTTCATTTTGGTACGTTTATCTATCAGCGTACCATATCGCGTTTATTCTTAGTTAAACGAACACAGTCCCTAATTGATTGTCGTTCTACCTCGCCATCACCATAAACGCAAAAACTTCACCTTCATCGGAGCAAATGACATATTCCATACCGGGATATCGTTACACTTGCCAATTTATATTACTTTTTCTATTCTGTTGTACATTTTCTATACGGTTCCTTTTGTTCTGGTTTTATGCCTGCCAACTGTTCGACGAATTGTTCAAATTTTGCATTTGGGGTTTTGTTGCAAGCTCGGTTAAATTCATATAAATCTTCAACTACAAACAACTGTGAAAGCACTATCGTTGGGAGACACGAGTTGTGTAGTCTATCAGATTTGTAGCATATAAAAGTTTAATATTCTTTTGTTCAATCTGATGCAGCATTCATGTTTCTGGCACGAGTTTTGGAAGGAGACTCTTTGCAACAGCAACATCAGAAGCTTCTGCTGCTGGGGCTGCAGCTGGTAGTAGAGTTAGGACTGCACATAACCCTCTTGAGGAGTTCTTTGAGATTGATAGAAACCCTGAGGAGGACAAACCTGTTGTCTACGGTATATAGTATATACATCTCTATTTTTTATTTATTTAAACTTCAGTATAAAGAATACTGTTTCTTGGGATACTTGCATATATATTCTTTTTTGTTCATTATACTATTTGAATCATGTTTTTGTAGTCTGGTTTAATTGTATTGATATTGTTAAAAATACAACTTTTTTTATTTTTAAAAAAAAATCAGGGCGTAGCTGGAAGGCTTCAGAGCTACGTCTGAAGTCATGGGAGGATCTACATAAGTTATGGTATGTCCTGCTCAAAGAAAAAAACATGCTCATGACTCAACGCCAGATGCTTCATGCTCAAAACTTGCGCTTTCCTAATCCTGAACGCCTACCTAAGGTTATTATTATTATTTATTTATTTTTTTTTACCATAAATCAGGTGCTATTATATGTATAAAGTGTTGTTGTTCTGAATAAGTTAAGTGATGTGTGGGTGCAGGTTAGGAAATCAATGTGCAGAATCAAACATGTGTTGACTGAGAGAGCAATTGAAGATCCAGATCCTCGGAGGACTGCTGAGATGAAGCGGATGATTAATGCTTTATGATCATCTTCTTGTTTTTTTTAGCATCATAATATAACCAATAAACTGAAATTCGAGAGTTGATTATGAGACCTTTTCCTTTTATGCTTGTAATTGTATGCACTAGATTTATATGCATCATATGTTTTCATGTCATTTTGTACCACAAATTTATTGTCTTTTTATCTGGGATATGTCTTTCATTTATGCCATGGAGATGAACAAAAGAAAGGGGAGCACATTCGTCGTTTTTTTTTTCTTTTATACATTGTTTATCTAGACAAAAATTAGTGGAAAAAGAAAGAAAAGACATGGTGGCTTGGAAAGGTTGGAAGCATTTTATGGGTAGGGTTTTCTCTTGATGGAGAGGATTCATGGTTTAGATCTTCATTGATTTTTAATATATAAGCAAACGGGCATTTGAGAGTTTTTAGCTTTTAACAAAAAGCTCCCAATCTAAACAAAAAGCTCCCAATCTAAGGGAGTGTTTGGTTGCAGTCTTTTGGAACTTTTAGCTTTTAGTAAAAAATTCAATTTAAAAAAAAAAATCTTTGTTTGGAAGTGTTTTTAGTTTTGGTTTTAATAAAAAGTTTCAAATCTCAAAGCTACTCCATGTAATGTAACGTTTAGGGAAAAACTAGTGAGTTTTTTAATCAATTTTTTGACCTTTTATTTATTATGGTTCACATTTAGCTTTAAGACAATTACCTTTTCATATAATTTTACATATTTTAAAAGCTTCTAATTACTTTTACCAAACATTTATATAACAAATAAAAACTATAACTTTCATCTAACAACTAGTTTTGCTAAACACAACTACTAGAGTAGGAGAAGACAAAATTGCAAAAATGGTCCCTGTGTTTGGTAAAATTATGCGATTTTGGTCCAAAACGATACCTTGGTGTACCACTGGTCCAAAATTGGATTTTTCCATTGTTTTTGGTCCCTCACACTAACTTTCGTCCATATGCTCCGTTACTTGCAATATAGACGGGGGTATTTTCGTCTTTCCACCTCTATATCATCGATTACCGCCATATTTAATGATATACACAGTTAATGACCCTTCACTCTACCCACTAAACCCACTTTGTTGATCGAAAACCCTAATCGTTCCTTGAAATCCTGCATTTGATCATCAACTTCAATCGTAAGTTCGAATCCACGTGTATGCTCTAAATGTGGGAAATCAGGCCAAGAAATCAGTGTTTTGATGCAATCCGAATTTACGGTAACGTACTCTGTTTCTTACATATTTCTTTGAAACAAAAAAAATATATTTTACAATCCATATAAAGTAATGTTTTTTTGGTTTGGTTCATGATTTTTACAGAAGGATATCCCACGATGTTCACTATTGAGCTCCATCATGGAGGGAGGTTCACAAAATTCCCAGGGATAAGCTACATTGAAGGAAAATTAGACCACGTCGACTTGGTAGACATGGATGAGTTCTCTGTGCATGAGTTGGACGAGGTGATGCTGAAGCTTGGTTATGAGGTACCACCAGTCATTTACTACCACTATCAATTGCCAAATGGAGATTTGGAGTTTGGTCTTAGAGCTCTAGGGAATGATGTTGATGTACTTAGTCTTGCACAGTACATTGAACATCATAAGATCATCAAGGTATACACTGAACATAATGAAACTAAGTTACTTACGTACTTTATGTCTCCAAGAGTTAAACCTAGGGTCATAATTGAGGAAATAGCAGATGATGTGCCCATACCAAAATCAAATTCAGCAGTGGTTGATTTGCATCCAGTAAACCAAAACCAGGAAGATGTCCCAAATCTTGAATTGTGTTTGGTAAGGTATGAGACACCCGAATACAATTAAAATAGGAGGTTGAGGTTAGTTGAAGGGAGTCAATCATGTAGTAAGAAATTGTGTTTCAACTTGGAACACACTGCAACTGTTGGTGATCAAGATGCACATGTTGAAATTGGTAATGAAGGTGCAAATATTAGTGATCAAGGTACATAAATTCATGATCAAGGTGCACCTGTTGGTGATCAAGATACAGAAGTTCATGATCAAAGTGCAAATCTTGGTGACCAAGAAGTAAATACAGGAGTGTTTGATACCTTTGATGACCAACCATTTCAATTTGAAGACTTTGATCCTTTATTTGATCAATATACTTTTAATGATGGTAATGATCAGAGTATGGGAGTTGGTGCAGAACTTGGCACAGGACTAGGTGAAGTTCAATTTGAAAGTGAGGGAGTTTGTGAAGGAATTGGTGAAGGAGGTAGTGAAGGAGGTAGTGAAGAAGGTAGTGAAGGGGGTAGGGAAGGGAGTAGTGAAGGGAGTGAGGAAGATAGTGACTTTCTTGAAGATGAAGAAAATTATGTAAGTGATATTGAGGTGGACATGAGTGATTTCTATATGAATGTTGATCTAGATGTTGAATATGTTGACAGTGGAAAGGGTGTTGAGACTGAAAATGAAGTTGTTGATACTGAAGATGTTGAAGATGTTGAAGTAATTGATAATGATGAATGGGACTCATTAGGTGAAGATACTGATGATGAAAAGAGGAAAGCAATATTAAAACAGATGGTGAAGGAGAAGAAGTGCTCCCTTGGTGAAGTCCATGCAGTTACTTTTCAAGTGGGTCAAAAGTATAAAAGTAAAAAGGAAATTAAGGACAAAGTCAACAAACTTGCCATTGAGACTAGAAGGAATCTTGGCTTCGAGAAAAACAACAAAACAAGGCTTAGGGTTGTGTGTAAAGGTAATGTACCTAATGTAAATGCAAGTGGGGTAGGTAAGGGCAATAAAGTGAATTGCTCTTGGTCAATGCAGACTTCAAGGTCAAAAGATAGTGATTATTGGTATGTGAAAACTTTACTGGACAAACATACTTGTGTTCAAACTAGAAAACTTAGGGCTTGCACTGCGAAGTATATATCTGCAGAAATCTTAGACATGATCAAGTCTAACCCTACAGTACCCCTTCGAAGCATTCAAGACCAAGTTCAGAAGAGGCTTCAAGTTGGTGTGTCCATACACAAAGTACAGAGGGCAAAAGCAACAACTACAAAGCAAGTGACTGGTGACTACACAAAGCAATACGAGGTGTTAAGAGATTATCTTATGGAACTACAAGCAACTAATGTGGGTACAACTGTGAAGCTTGAGGTTGTTAATGAGCCAAACAGTGCTAGAGAAACAAGGCAGTTTAAAAGGGTGTATATTTGCTTAGGGGCATTAAAGAAAGGGTTTAAAGCAGGCTTAAGAGATATTCTCGGACTAGATGGTGCTTTTATGAAAGGACCATTTCCAGGCCAAGTACTCACTGCAGTTGGATTGGATTCAAACAATGGCATATACCCACTTGCATATGCCATTGTTGAGACTGAAAATATGAGTAGCTGGAAATGGTTTCTAGAATGCTTGGGAGATGACTTAGAGTTGCACTCAAATTCTACCTTTACTTTCATGAGTGATAGACAAAAGGTACTACTTTCTTCTTTTTGTATTACTAATAGTTCATTTGTATATGAATGTTGCAATGATTATGTGGGATAATCCTTTACAGGGACTCTTACCTGCTATTGCACAACTATACCCACAAGCTGAGCATCGATTCTGTCTAAGACATATTTATGAGAACATGAGGAAAAAATGGAAAACAAAAGAGTATAAAGATCACTTATGGCAGTGTGCAATAGCAACCACAGTACCAGAATTTGAACACTACATGAATGAACTTAGCAAGTTTGATAAGGATGCTTTTGAGTGGTTGAAGAAAATCCCCCCTCACCATTGGGCCAGAAGCCACTTTTCAGGTTATATTCCGTACCTTAGGTGAAGCTTTACTAGTTCTCATTGTATATGATTTAGTTCATATAATGTTCTTGTTTAATACAGGCAGAGCAGGATCAGATATATTGCTCAACAATTTGTGTGAGGTTTTCAACAGTAAGCTTATTCATGGTAGGAATAAGCCCATCATAAGTTGTCTTGAGTACATCAGGCAGTACCTTATGAAGAGGATCTGCAATGTGAAGAAAGTGATGTCCAAAGCTCCAGGTCCATTCACTCCAACAACATCAAAGTTACTTGAGATAAATAGGGAAGCTTCAGTCCAATATAGGGCTAGATGGAATGGGACTGCAAAGTATGAAGTTTATGGTCCTTGGCATGACCAACATGTGGTTGGCATGACAAATATGTCATGTACATGTAGAAGGTGGGAATTGAATGGGATTCCATGCAGACATGCCATAGCTACAATACATGAAATGGCTGATACTGGAGACAAAGTTGGGGAGCTTTACACTTATGTCAACAAAGTGTATTGGCTTCAAACATTGAATGAAGCTTACTCTTACACTGTGGACCCTATAAAGGGTAGAGCCATGTGGCCAAAAAGTACTTGTCCATTTCAATTAACACCACCACCACATCATATTCAACCTGGGAGACCTAAGACCAAGAGAAAGAGAAGTGTAGATGAAAAATATGATAGACAGATGCATAATCATGGTGCAAGTGAACCTGAAAAACTTACCAGAAAGTTTGTTAATGTCAGGTGTGGGAAGTGCAACAATAGGGGTCATAACTCAAGGACTTGCAAGGGTGAAGGTGGGAATGCAGGAAGCAATCAAGGAGGGAATGGAGGTGGCAGTCAATGCAGGAATTAGTGTATTTTGTTTAAAAACTTATCTTTTGGTTTAGCACCACTTTTGTGCATTTGGATGTAATGGTTTAAAGGTAGTTTGTTGTAATGGTTTTATTTTGGTCTTTTAGCCCTTTTGGTCATGAAACTAATGTCAACCTTTTGTAATTGTTGAAGAATGATGTTTATGGTTTATAACAACTTTGTTGTCATGTTTATGGAACACATTTATGGTTATAACAACTTTGTTCTGAAACAACAAATAAACATTAACATTAGGTGATAACTGCAATACATTGTCATTACATCCTTGAAAAGGGTACCCATTTCTGAAGTTGTCCAAAATAACCCTAAATTGATATTACAATATCAAATACCAAAAACTACCACATCCCCCTGTTACAATTTCATAAGACAAAAACACCCAAAATTACATGCAACTACAGTGGTCCCTAATTCCTTATTCCTAAATGAAAAGCACCCAAACCACCACAAATAGTAACCAACTTGCAAACAAACACATCTTCAGTCTTGCCACTTGATAGTTTGCAT